AGGCACATATAAAACACAAATGATTAAGCAGTAAGACTAATTTTATTATACAGAAGATAAAATCACACAATAAAAAATAGGGCGTCAAATGTTTTTACATCAGTCATAGCTCACATTCAGTACCGTTTTAGAAACAGAGTTCAAGTCATCAGTAATTGGGCAGTTGACGCGTTTCGAGACAAACATAGACTCTCTTCTTCAGAGGCGTCTAGATACAGAAAAAGATACCTGCAGTGAAAACATATCTGTAAGTACATTATTTCATAAATACAACACTGTCAGGGACTATATGCAGATGCTATACTAACCCTGTATGGAGTGACTGATGAAAGGAAACCACCAAAGTTGAAAATCAAAACATATTTTCTGTCACCATCTCCAAAGATCACCCGGATGGGACAACAGAGGAATTTTTTACTGCTTCAAGCAAGAGGGGGCACGATGGAGGCTTGGCAGAGGAAAAAATATTATATCCTATAATAGTTCCTACACACAAAAAATGATATATATACATATGTACAGTTGCAAGAAAAAGTATGTGAACCCCTTGGGATTACGTGGAGTTTTGCATGAATTGGGCATAAAATGTGCTCTGAACGTCATCTAAGTCACAACAATAGAAGAACACAGTCTGCTGAACACAATACTACACAAACATTAGATGTTGCCATGGTTTAATTGCGCATAACATGAAAACATTCACAGTGCAGGGAGGAAAAAGTATGTGAGGCCCTAGCTTAATGACTTCTCCCAGAGCTAATTGGAGCCAGGAGTGAGCCAACCTGGACTACAATTAGTGTGATGATATTGGATGTGTTGCTGACAGCTGTCCTGCCCTTAAAAAACACACACCTGTTTTGGGTTTACTGGTTTCAAGAAGCACTGTCTGATGTGAACCATGCCTCGCAGAAAAGATCTCTCAGAAGACCTACGATCAAGAATTGTTGACTTGCATGAAGCTGGAAAGGGTTACAAAAGTATCTCCAAAAGCCTTGATGTTCATGTGTCCACGGTAAGACAGACTGTCTACAAATGGAGAAAGTTTAGCACTGTTGCTACTCTCCCTAGGCGTGAAAAATGACTGCAAGAGCACAGCGCAGAATGCTGCATGAGGTAAAGAAGAATCCCAGAGTGTCAGCTAAAGACCTACAGAAATCTCTGGCACATGCTAACATTTTTTTTGACACATCTACAATAAGGAAAACATTAAACAAGAATGGAGTACATGGTAGGACACCACGGAGGAAGCCATTGCTGTCCAAAAAGAATATTGCAGCACGTTTGAAGTTTGCAAAAGAGCACCAGGATGTTCCACAGCACTACTGGCAAAATATACTGTGGACAGATGAAACCAAGATTGAGTTGTTTGGGAAGAACACACAACACTATGTGTGGAGAAAAATAGGCACAGCACACCAACATCAAAACCTCATCCCCACTGTAAAACATGGCGGAGGGAGCATCATGGTTTGGGGCTGCTTTGCTGCCTCAGGGCCTGGACGGATTGTTGTCATTGATGGGAAAATGAATTCCAGAGTTTATCAAGACATTTTGCAGGAAAATGTATGACCATCTGTCCGCCAACTGAAGCTCCGCAGAGGATGGGTGATGCAACAGGACAATGACCCAAAGCATACAAGTAATTCAACAAAACAATGGCTGCAACAGCACAGAATACGCCTTCTGGAGTGGCCCAGTCAGAGTCCTGACCTCAACCCGATTGAAATGCTGTGGCATGACCCTAAGAGAACGATTCACACCAGACATCCCAAGAATTTTGCTACACTGAAACAGTTTTGTGAAGAGGAGTGGTCTAAAATTACTCCAGATCGTTGTGCAGGTCTGATCTGCAACTACAGGAAACGTTTGGTTGAGGTTATTGCTGCCAAAGGAGGGTCAACCAGTTATTAAGTCCAAAGGTTCACATACTTTTTCCTCCCTGCACTGTGAATGTGTACATGTTATGTGCAATTAAACCATGGCAACATCTAAAGTTTGTGTAGTATTATGTTCAGCAGACTGTGTTCTTCTATTGTTGTGACTTAGATGACGTTCAGAGCACATTTTATGCCCAATTCATGCAAAACTCCACGTAATCCCAAGGGGTTCACATACTTTTTCTTGCAACTGTATGTATATCTGTGACAATAAAACAATACTACCCCTGCTGACACTCAAAACATGATCATTGCTGTGCACTTACTTAGCAAAGAATGGATGTACAGGACAAAGACCGGACTAGGATCCAAATAAATTTCAAAAAGCTTCCATATGTTGGATTTGGAAAATATTTGTTTGCAACCAAAAACCTTTCATTTGCAAGCTTTCATCAGTCACTCCATACAGGGTCACTATAGCATCTGCATATGTTGGCGCTATATAAATCCTGTATAATAATAATATAGTCCCTGGTAGTGTTTGTATTACTTATTTACTTACAGATGTGTTTTCACTGCAGGTATCATGTTCTGTATCTATCCGTCACATGCCTGATGAAGGGGTCCTGCAAGACTCCGAAACGTTGCCTTTCTGTAACTATGTGATGGTTTATTAAAACCTTTGGACCCATATTGGTGATCCTCGGTGTGCTGGTGACATTTTTTTTTGCTGATTTTGTTCGGTTCCAGCCGACGGTCACTGCAGCACCCACTTATACACACAGCCATTTTAACGCAGGAACGTGTGCGTTTGGATTGTACACTTATGTTCTGTATCTAGGCACCTCTGCAAAGAGATTCTAGGGTTGTCTCGAAACGCGTCAATGGCCCAATTACTGATGACCTGAACTCTGTTTCTAAAACTGTACTGAATGTGAGCTATCACTGATGTAAAAACATTTGACTGCCTTTTTGTTGTGTGACTTTATCATCTTCTGTATAATAAAATTAATTGTACAATTTTATAATTTGTGTTTATTTGCAACCAAAAACCTTGAAAGTTTGCAAAATAGAGGATTAGCTTTTTGTTCTATAGTTTGGGGATGATGATACTAGCCTACACTGCACCAATACTGATCTGAAAAACAATATTTTCCAATGCATCCTATTCACACCATAACCCTGCGTTCACCTGTGTTGTGCTAAATGCAACATGTATGCATTTTAGTGCCTTGCAATGGATGTAAGCGGATGTCAGTGCAATGCATAGGATATCCTGTGAAAATGCAGTACGTTGTAACATGTGCTAAGATGCATGTCAACTGATATCAAAATGTATGTCAACGGACATCAGCGTGCAACTAAAATTGATGGAACTGTAAATCTATTTTCCTTACATTGTAGCGCAAGTCAGTGTGAATTGGCCCTTAGGCTAGGTTAACACCTATGCAGTTTACATTTGATCTGTTTCTGCAGTGCAATTTGCATTTTTAACGCATTGTTTACGCGTTTTTCATTTGTTTTTTTTCCAACTTGTTGCTGGGCAGATTAAAATGCATCAAAACACATCAATAATGCACTACATGCATTTCTGCAGAATTTCCATTGAAGTCTATTGAACCAAAAACGCAACCTTTTGCATTTAAAAAAAGTCCCTGACCCTTTCCAAAAAACACACCGGGTGGAAACGCGGAGATGTGAACGTGAGGAAATCAAGGTAAATGGACTGCTGTGCGTTTCTGCACAATGCAAAATGCAATGGAAAACGCATCGGTGTGAACCTAGACGTACAGACGTTTAGAAGCATAAAAACACCCACAGCCAGTACATTCATGAGCAGCAGCATTTTGGCAGAAAAAATGCTTGACACACCTAAATGCATGTAAATGTGTCTAAACATGCGTTAACGCTAGGCTCATTTAGTGTTGGATCGTTAATTCATTTCTATTGCCAGAATAAGCTATTATTCTTGCCAAATAAATGATTTAACACCCAAGTGCTTGACATGTCTAAACATTCTTAAAAGCGTTTACAAAAATGCGGTATAGGTGCTTGTTTGACACTGCTTTTTCTCCTGCCAGGAGAAAGCTGTTTAGAAGAGCTGGCCAAACGCTTAGTGTGCATGAGGTTTTAGGATGGAGATTTACTAAAACTGCTGCAGCTCTGCATGGTAGCCAATCAGCTTGTTCAAATAAGCTTTGACAATAAAACCTGGATCTTGATTGGTTTCTATACAGAGCTGCACCAGATTTTGCACTCTCTGGTTTTAGTAAATAATCCCTATTTCTGGTATTGAAGTGCATTTTTTCCTGTAGTATGCTGATATCTAGTGGCATTTTTGGGCCACTGCAACTTGTTTTCTATGTTTTTGGACTCTCCCTTTGTCTTCCCCTCCTATTTAGTGCCAAATAGTTTAGTCCTAGCTAGATCCTTGCAATTTCTTCCATGTTCACTCAGCCAGTGTTAGTTATTTACAGGGCAAAAGGAAAGTGGGGGCTTAGGAATGTCATTGTCTTCTTACACATCAAAAGATTGGAAAAACATCCTCTGTACTGCAACTGTCTATAGCAAATTTTGTTGATTTCAACTTCTGTGTCCCATAGAAGACAAACTGCCTGTGGATAGTGCCAAAATCAGCAACTGACCATACTGTCCGAATGGACTGGGTCTAAGGAAGTATGTCAATGCATAAAATGGCATTTGAAACAGAACAGACTATGTTCAGCATGAAGAATCCAATTGTTTCCAATTGTCACTGCTCACACTCAGTCGTCTTAATCCCAAAAAGTAAAATTTTTTCTTGAGCACATTCAGTACTTTTTGCCCCCATAGACTTTAATGGATGTGCCTGTAAAAACAGGACATACTCATTTGCAGACAATTTTGTGCCTAAGAGACTATACTCCTCCTCTAGAACTGCTCTCATATGCTTGCCCAGCATATGAAACAACCAAAGCTTGATTCACATACAAAAACACTTGCACAAAGTCAATAATGCCTGAAAAAAAAAAACCTTCAAAAATCACTAGAAATACACTATGCTCAGGTGTGAATGCAGGCTTATAGTTACTAAGTAGCTCAATGCTGCAGATGGTTACGGATGATAATGCTTTCCATTTTTACCTGAGAGAGTCTGAGAATGCTTCCACTCCAAATCTGGATATGCTATATCCTCCTCCTACAAAGGCTAGCCTGCCCATCACACTAGACATGTTGATAATACGTCCCCTGGCTCTTCTAATAAGGGGCAGCAGACAAAGCGTCACATCAATCATGCCCAATAAATTCACATTCAGCACCTTTACAAAATCTTCCCTTCTCAGCCAGCTGTTGGGAGCTGTAGGTAGCCCAATGCCAGCATTATTCACGAGTCCCCATAAACCTGCAAAAGAAAAATACATTAATAAGGAAATATCATGTAAAATGTATGAACAGTTGCATATTATGTAATATCTAAATAATGGCTGCAAAATTGATATCAGCTTTGAAACTTAATTGCAACCGTAAACCTTTACTCCTAATGCCTGAGCCTAAGGGTCATGCCATATTGGTAATTTTGAAGCAGCAACCCCACTTTCCCATTTTTATTTTTATCTAATCCCTAATTTTACAGCAATTGGTATCTCAGTAACCCAGCAATTGAGTTGTTCAGCTTTTCATATCAAGGACTAACTCACCAGAGGCAATCACTATGGCTGAGCTATAAATTGCTGAAGAAGTGCAATGTGTAGCAGCAAACACTAAAGTAATGTTTACAGAGGTGGATTTAGACAGTAAAAATAGGCAGTTGAGCCTCAGTATTACCACCCCTGACTACCAAGCCATAAGCTAATATGGCCATTGGCTATGTTAGTACTCACTGCAAGGTTTGCAGCATACACTCTAAAAAATAACTCAAGCGACCTGTTACCACCACTTAATTAAATGTGTATTTCCAAGATAAAAATCCTAATTTATTGGTTTAAATAAACTTTTTCATTTAAAAACCTACTTTCATGAGTTGTTGAAATGATAATGTTGGAAATTACATCAACTTAATATTGTGTGTCATGAACAGTTACATTTCTGCATTCATTGTTGTACAATGAAATTTAAGTTAAGGTACCTTAATAAATTTGACTTGGTAACTTCATTTTGCTCTACATTGAGAGCTGCATTGCAAGTCTCCACCCCCATTCACTTAACACAAATCAAGTCTCAGTTGTTTCCAAAACTGTTCCTTGAACTTGATGGACTGAAAGCCAGTGCTAAAGTAGTGGGTCTCAAGTACAGTATTCTCTGAAGAACGTATGTGTTCCATAGCACAGTCATACTCATATGACATTTTTCACTTTTATTTCAGTTCACAAAATGGTTGTCGCAGGGTAATGCGGAAAGAATATAGCAAATTGTAAGAAAGCTCACAAAATATCAACTTTCAATATCCTCCAATAGCTTCACTATATTGCCACAATTTGTTGCACAATATAGCAAAGGTCTTGTAGAGAAACAGTTTCTGCACCAGACAGACAATATTAAAAAAATCTTAATGCAAAGTGCTTACTCATTCATCAGTACAACTTTAAGGATTTGATTTTGGTGTGCAAAAAATGTCAATTGTTTAACAATTGGATTGTTGGGCCTTGGTTCACACAATGAAGTGCATGTGAATCACAAAGGAACTGCAACACATTCCTGTGCAATTCACATGTGGTTTAGTGTAATGCAATTTGAGCCCATTCATTTTGAATGAGCTCAAATCACACCACATCGCACCAAAGACATGCCTGCACCAATTTTTGAACCACAGTGCAACCAGATTGCATGTTTTGCTTTGTACCATGCAATCTGGTGCCGGCAAATGCACTGTGTTTGCAACACTGACATCCACTGCAGACTGCAAGGGTAGTGCGATTTGATTGTGGTGCGCGAAATGCACACAGATTGCAGGGTTTCTGCAACACATTCTAGTGTAAGCCTAAACTGATTAATTCATTTTTGAAAACTAGTATAAAAAAAACAAAGCTAAAAACTAATACAGAAAATCAATTTGGATCAACTTGATTTTTAACTGCTTTTTAACTTTAAAAAACTTGCTCATAATTGTAGCAATTAAGTACACGTGACTTGAAGGTTTCTTATAAAAACTGGAAAAACTATTTGAATTAACTTAATATGTTTAAGTACTCAACTTAAAAACATGTGTTTATAATGCCAGTAATTAAGTTGGCGGTAAATAAAAATGCATTCATTTCTATCAGAAAAGCTAATTACCTCAATGCAATGTAGTTTGTTGCTTCAACTTAATTTCACCAGACATTGTCATAACTTAAAAAGCTTGATGCAAACTGTTGCGTTAATTTTTTTTGTTGAGCCAAAACATTATTTTTTAGAGTGTAGCAAAATCCTTACAATAGGTAACATTTGCAAGGCAGTACTGCTGCCATACATTTAAGTAAATGGTGTCACGACGCAACCACAAGCCAGGTGCTTTACTTGCAGTTGAGGTGTGATATTTCAATAGAAATTTTCCCTTCAGCTGAAAAAAAGGGCATTCAGGAGGCGCATCCTGAATGTCTTGCAGATACTGCTTTATCACCCTATGAAAAGGATTCCTTTGTGGACGGCTTTTCAGTGGATCAGTATAGAGTACCGCTCATGTAAAGTAGCTCTAGCATAATGATGTAGTGCAAACTTGACCTGTATCTGCAAATAATTGCCAGCCACTGTAGCAACTATCTTGCTAGCTACAAATTGTTGATAATTGCTGGCGTTAGAGATTTGTAGCAGTGATTAATCACCAACATGACTTGGCCCCCATTCTAACCTTCCTACACCAGGTATGTCAACCTAAACTGAAGCAGTGGACTGAATTAAGTGGAATAAATATGCACACCTATGTAATCCTAGAAAAATATGACAGCGCCATGCACCTATTATTACTAACATTATACTTATAACTACAGTTTCCAATAGGTTATCTCTTTGAATCGGTCCAAAAACATTTAAAAATAAATTCAGGTACCAAAAACATAAAGCCTTTGGGGACCAGTCTGGGGCCTCCTCCACTTTAAAAGGTCATAACTGTACCTCTTTTGGAAAGACTGTCCCTATTTTGGACCAAATCTCTCTGTCCCTCGTACAGCCTCAGTTTCCCTCTTTTTGATCTTAATGTCTACATCTCTACACAAAATGTACTATTTTACTACCAAAAGTGTTATGTTGCACTAAACATTTTATCCAACCTCTGTATTATTGTATTTGCTATTTTAAAAAGCCAATAAAAAGGAAAATAGAAGTAAAAAACACACTTTAGCCCATAATGTTTTGCATATTAGATCTTTGTGATCCATGTAATCGGGGCCAGGGCAGGGATGTGTTCTTTGCTTACATACTGTGTGCGAAAAGGTATCCCTCTTTATTATTTCAGAAATTGGGATATATGGAAAGGTGAGAGGGTCAAAAACTAACAGAAGAGCACATGTGCCCTAAACCAAGTCCTTATACCAACACCTGCCCTGTATACACGTTATCCTGCATTGCATGCCCGAGTCTCTTGAAGTGACTGCCCTGCTCTAAAAGTTGTCTGTGTCATACCTGGCCAGTCATTATTGTTTTCCCCCATTAATGTCCATTTCTAAAGGTTTCTGCCAGCACTTATTTGTTACAACAGAAATATGCATACTAGAGCAATAATTAACAAAATGGAAAGTAAATGAACAGAAGAGAAATCAAAACCCAACATTTGGTGTGACCACCCTTTGCCTTCAAAACAGCATTAATTTTTCTAGATACACTTGCACACAGTTTTTGAAGGAATTCGGAAGGTAGGTTGTTCCAAACATCTTGGAGAACTAACCACAGATCTTCTGTGGATGTAGGTTGCCTCAGATCCTTCTGTCTCTTCATGTAATCCAAGACTCGATGATGTTGAGATCCGCACTCTCTGGGAGCCAAGCCATCACTTCCAGGACTCCTTCTTCTTTACACTAAGGATAGTTCTTAATGACATTGGCTGTATGTTTGTGGTCATTGTCCGGCTGGATAATACATTTGGGGCCAATCCCATGCCTCCCTAATGCTATGACATGATGGATAACTATCTGCCTGTATTTCTCAGCATTGAGGACACCATTGATCCTGACCAAATCTCCAAAACCATTTGCAGAAATGTAGCCCCAAATTTGCGAGGAACCTCCACCATGCTTCACTGTTGTCTGCAGACACTCATTATTGCACCGCTCTCCAGCCCTTCAGCAAACAAACTGCCTCCTGCTACTGCCAAATATTCAAATTTTGACTCATCAGTCCAGAGCGCTTGCTGCCATTTTTCTGCACCCCAGTTCCTATGCTTTCATTGGAGGTATGGCTTTCTCGCCAGACTTTTCAGGACAGTAAATGGATGTACCAGGGTCCCACTGATTTCTGACATTTCTGTGCTGATGTCACTTCTGGACATCTTCTGAAGTGCATTACGTTTTCCTTGTCCGACCACAACGTCTACAGCCATAAGTGTTGCCCAACTTTGTGCAAGTGTACAAAGTGCGCAAGTGAAAGAATTGATGCTAGTTTAAAGTCAAAGCGTAGTTGCACCAAATATTGATTTAATTTAGATTTTCCTTCTGTTTGCTCACTCTGCCTTAAAATAAATATATATTTTTGAAAGTGTTCTTTACAGCATTTCTTCACACCTGTCTAAAACACAGCTCTCTCTCTCTCTCTCTATATATATATATAGGCTGTATTTTGGCACCCCTGCATTTCTGTCAGATAATGTACCGCTTTGCCCGGAAAATTGTTGCAATTACAAATGTATAGGCATTCTCATGTTTATTTCTTTTGTTTGTATTGGTAAAAAAATTGTGGAGAAACAAGAAGCCAAATCTGACACATTCCATGCAAAACCCCCAAAATGGACTGGACAAAATTATTAGCACTCTCAATTTAATTTTTGGTAGCACACCCCTTGGAAAAAGCCATCACTTTCTGTAAGCATCAATTAATTTCTTACACCTCTCTACTGGAATTTTGGACCACTCTTCTTTCACCAACTGGTCCAGGTCTCTCAGATTGGAAGGGTTCCTTTTCCCAACTGCTCTTTTGAGATCTCTCCACAGGTGCTCTATGGGAATGAGATCTGGACTCATTGCTGGCCAGTTCAGTACTTTCCAGTGCATTGTCTGAAACCATTTCTGGGTGCTTTTTGACATGTGCTTTGGGTCATTGTCCTGCTGTAAGACTATGACCTCTGACATAGACCCAACTTTCTGACCCTGGCCCTACATTGCACACCAGAATTCTTTAGTAGTCTTCAGATTTTGCCATGCACACAGTCAAGACATCCAGTGCCTGAAGCAGCAAAGCAACCCCAAAACATCAGTGAACCTCCACCATGTTTGTAGG